ATCAATGATATTGTAAGTAGGTTGTGGCAAAATTAAAAATAAATTTTTGAATATACCTCAGGGTTTATATGTGTTATTATACGGAGTTCTGCCCACCATTATTATATTTACCTATACACCTAATGTTTACAGTTTCGCATTTTCATTATCTATACAATTACCGAGCATTTATAGTTTCAGTTTTTATGCAAATATAGCAGCATAGTTTGTATATTTTTTTCTTTTAATTTCCCAATTGTTCTAATGACAGCTGTATGATATATTATGATTAGGCCCGTCAGGACTTACATATATACTAATAAGAAAAATTTGCATTCAGGAAATTCTAAAACTGAGAAACAAGTTTGCATTGAAGTGGACAGACGTACATATGTACATACAACAACCGATTTTCAAGATTATTTAATTTGGTTCTTTAGAATTTCTACAGACTTAGTTTTGAAAACAATATCAATCAAGTGGCCGAATTTATAGGACATACAAAATGTGCCCTTTTTGCTGCACTTCTATTAATTTTTCTAGCATCTCAAGTGGTATTGCGATGATTTCTGCACGATTATTAGCCATGATCTCGTCAATGGTTTGAGGTTTGCTGGCGTAAACTTTGCTTTACAAATATCCCCACAAAAAGAAGTCCGGAGGTGTAAAATTTGGAAACATGGGTCCGATCATAGTAGCATTTTTTTAAGTTTTTTGAGTCAACACAACTGAACGACTATTTTCAATGTAAAGCGTCACTATTTCAGCGCGTTTTTTGGAGTAAAGCTATCCATGATTAAAATTCTGCTGAAGTGAGCTTTTCTACACTGGTATACTCAAGTTAATTGGTTCACTAATGATAAAGTTATTCGATATTTAAATACCGACATACATACATATGTATTTATGTACATCCTGGGGTCGGAAATTACTCCACTACTGCGTTGCAAACTTCTAACTAAATTATAATACCCTGCAACGGTATACAAATTATGACAACGATAATTAGCTACATATTACCCACTTATAACATTGTAAAAGCCTCAGAAGCATCATGCCATTCTGGAAATATTTGGCACCTACCGCAATGGATTGTTTTTGGGAATTCCAAGTGCGAAATGCACCTGTTACCCCCAATTTGCATTTCCCTAATGAAGCTCATTTGGCTGGAATACGATGTCGGCTTCAGATATGTATGTATTAAGTTAAGTCTGCTTAAATGCAGCTTGAGACAGTCACATGTTTAGTGAGCAGCACAAACAATGGGACGAGCAGGGAGCCGATTGTCGGGATTTCACGCACCTGGGGGGCAACAACAACTGCAATTGCAACGGGCACAATAATGAAGCAGCTAACTGTGACAAAGTCTCAATTAGGCTATCGCATTGCCGTAGACAGAGGAGGGTGCAACGTGCAACTAGGAGCTGCGAGCGATACTGGTAGAGCATACAATTAAGCAAATGGATGGGTACACTGGACCAAAAAAGTATACAAAAGGCTGGAAAAACTATTATGCTGTTTTTCCAAAGCTGTAAGCTTATGTACTACTTGCATCTATAGTGTCATTAAACTAATTTAATCTGTTGTATGCCTCTTCAATAGACCTCTTATTTTCTTTCGATTTTGATCTGAAAAAATAACAAGAAAGGAAGCTAACTTCGGCACACCGAAGTTTGTATACCCTTGCAGATTGGTTTTGATGTTTATATTATAGATTTAAATGCTGAAAACACACACAAAACAGAGTTTCATTACATTTTATACTTATTATGTTTACAGTTTGACAGTTACAGTTTTATATTCCCAGCATTTCATTTTCTCTGCATCTACCGATCGTTCCTATGGCAGCTATAAGATATAGTCGTTCGATTTTCATAAAATTAAAACCAATATTCTGAAATAATATAAATTGGCCATATCTCAAAAATGGTGCAAAAGTATTGAAAATCAGCCAAGTTATAATTTTTTTTTTTAAATTTATCGAACATTTGTATGGCAGTTATATGATATAGTCGTTCGATCCGTTCCAACATATATAGCAGTGAAAGTATGTATATAGAAGATTATATGTAAAGTTTCATTCAGATAGTTTTAAAACTGAGGGACTAGTTTGCGTAGAAACGGACAGACGGACAGAAGGACATGGATCGACCCGGCTGTTGATGCTGATCAAGAATATATATACTTTATAGGGTCGGAAAGGTCTCCTTCACTGCGTTGCAAACTTCTGACTGAAATTATAATACCCTGCAAGGGTATAAAAACAGTATAAATATAAGTCAAGAACGAGAGTCCAAGTATGCCTCTTGTCACTTTTAAATTCAATTTCATTTAAAAACTTTATCTTCAGATTTTCGGTTAAAAAGGTTTAACTTTTTAAATCAGTTTTCTTTTTCGTGTATTAGGGAAAGCAAGCACCAAGAGTTTGGGGCAGGCCTTAACCTGCTGTAATCCATTGTCCTATCTCAGGCCACTTTGCTGACCGAGAGGTTCATGGAAGAGCAACCACCAGCGCAGTCTTCGGATCGCATTTCACTTAATTGTGTGAATTTAATCTCGGTGTCGTTGACACCTGGTCTGCCAACAGCAGCGAAGCAGTCTCGAAGCAACAATTAATACCCAAGCATTTCTCCCATTTGCAGGAAGACACGAACCGAGGTGACAAAGACAGACTTGGAGACAGCGTCAAATACCTAACCATGCTGCAGAATCCTTCCAAATATCACGCAAATCCTTTGTCGCACTTCCTGGCATTGCATAACACGCAAGCCAGCGGCGGGGGGATGGGCGTGGGTGTGGGGGGAATCCCTGCACATGGTCAACCGCACCATGCGCTGCCCACAGCAGCGCTGGCAGCAGCTGCAGCGGCGGCAGCCGCAGTTTCGGCGGGTCAGAGTTCATACCAAATGGAGCACCATCAGCAGCATCATAATTTGCAACAACATCATCTGCAGCAGCATCATCATCATCAGCAAGTCCAGCAGCAGGACAGCCATCCACACCCACCGACGACGACTGGAAGCAACAGCAGTAGTCACAGCAGCAACAGCAACACCAGCAATAGCAACAATAGCCACACTAGCAACATCAACATCAACCACCGGGAACAGTTGGCGGCGGCCGCCACTGCGACGTCGCACGCGCAGCTCATTGAGGCAGCAGCGGCGCATTCCTCCCTCGACGTGGGCAAGTCCTTCACTATTGCCGCCATTTTAGGTCTGCAGAGCCAACGCAAGGACTACAACAACGCCATCAATTTGTCACTTCACGACAACAACAACAATGGCAACAATAGCAGCAGCAACCACAATAACACCAGCGGCCAGAATATAAACAACTTTAATTGTGATAACAGCGCCGGCAGTGGCCGCTACCTGCATGCCGGACAGCATTCGCACTCGCATCCCCAGCAGGCGGGATTCGCTGCCGTAGCTGCCGCTGTAGGATCAGCTCCTTCCGCATTGCAGAGCCTGCAGCAGCTCCACCAGCAACACCACGCCCAGCAGCAGGCGTCGCTCAGCTTTCAGAGGGAGAAGCTTAAGTCGGGTAAGATAGAATATCACCAACATCCATTACCCAAATTAAACTTATTGAGGGGAAGTTTGCAGACAACATTTACCTAATTTTTAACATTTAAGTAAATTTAGTTAACGAATACGTACAAAAAATATTTAAAGTCGTGTACCGCATAAACAATATTTTGATAACATTTCAATTCTGTTTTTAAAAGTGCGTTAATTAAAAAATAATTTTGTTTTGGTACAATTTAAAAGAAATTATCTTTCAATCAAATTAAAAACAATATTTCAAATTTGAAATATTTAATGTAAATTAAATGTATGCCATAAAAAAACATTGTAATATCAACTTTCCTTTTATTTACCAATACAAATATTTACAGCTTTTCCCTAAATGTATTGATCCTATGGTAACTAAATGATACAGTCGTCCGATTTTCATAAAATTCAAAACGAAGTTCTGAAATAATACTAAATGGCTATGTCTATGACAGCGAGTTTTTTTTTTTTCTCAAAATGTTTCGATTGTTCCTATGGCAGCTTTATGATATACACACATAGTCCTCCAATCCGTCATATATAGTAGTGAGAACTGTAACAAGACCATACAAAAACTAGCGTAGCACTGGAGATTATAATACCCCTACCCGAATCTGCAAGCCTTTTTCTTAAAACTAAAATCAATGTAATACTGATGCGATAAATGCTTTCGAACATTTGTATCATGATACAATTATACAAGGTAGTCCCGTAGGGAAAATAAAGTTGAAAATTTGAGTGAAATGGCTCAATGAATAAGCATGAGCTGTCATAATAAGCCCTAAACCCGAACCATTTGGCCCCGGCGGGACTACCTTCTATAATTATATCGTGGGTCTGAGTAGGGCCGGAATAGAATACAATCTGGAACGTTTCATTTAAATAGGTGTACAATTGAAGGACTACTTTGAGTAGAAAGAACAGACACACCTACTGCATTGCCGACTGCTACCTATAATAATAGTACCCCTTTCCAGGATATAACAACTTCAATATCTTGACTGTTACAATGTTATAATCCATAATTGCAGACTCCCATAAGAAAAGCGCACTGAAGAACAAGCGTGTCCGCACTATTTTCACACCCGAGCAGCTCGAGTGCCTGGAAGCGGAGTTCGAGCGGCAGCAGTACATGGTCGGGCCGGAGCGGCTCTATCTGGCGCACACACTCAAGCTGACGGAGGCCCAGGTAAAGGTGTGGTTCCAAAACCGGCGGATCAAATGGCGCAAGCACCACCTGGAGCTCACCCAGCAGCGACTGGCGTTAATTCGGCAAACACAGCTACCAGGTACCGCGATCTTGGGAAATCAGGTGTCCGGCTGTACAACGAATCCAGCGGCGCACTCGGCTTCCGCGGATCTTACAGCCGGCAGTACAGCCTCGCCGAGGAGCTTGCAAGAGGAGGAGGATAACGAGGACAGCAAGCAATCGCTGTCGCTGTCCGGCGCCATGCCGCCGATAAGTCGGGCTCAGTCGGAGTCCGATCTATCCATTTGCAACGATTCCCTTGACGGCGACAGCCTCATGGATGGCAGCGAAGAAGCTTAAGATAATATTCCAGTGCAAAGCCAACATTTTCTGTAAATATCGCCAAAATAAATATGTAAAATATGGTTTATCTGTGACTCTATCAACCTTTCATCAAAACACTTTTCGCAAATGTGAAACTAAAAAGCAAGATTATCTCTCTTCGTTATATCGAATAGTGTATATTATTATTTCTTGCAAATAATTATTAACTGTATCCATGCGTTGTACACAGTTACGTCGGCTTCTGGTATTTTTACTTCAATTACCTATCAGATAAAGCGTAATCCAGATCATTGCTGAGCCGCCGCCCTCGCACTGCGATCGTGGCAGGAAAGGTGCACTATCTGCCCATTCGGGTAGCGCACGAAGGCTGATTGGCTGGGAAAGCGCTTTTTACACTCGGGGCACACACTGAACTCGTTTAATTCGAAGCTTATGTTACGCTGTGCCTGTAACGCGACCTCTAACCGATTGGCTTCTGCCTCCAGCAGGCCGCACATCATCTGCATCTGGTGCTTGTCGGCCAGCTTTTTACGTATCGACTTATCCAGATACTTCTCCAACTGCGGCATGGGCATGTCATCGGGAAGGTGCTACACGTAAATGGGGAGGTGCAATTGATGATTACCAGATAGATAAGAAGTGGAGTGAAGCATTACCTCAAAAATCTCGAAGGGATCTATTTTGGTAGCGTATGCTTCCAGCAAGTCCAGGGCCACCTTCCGATTGACCTGAACAAAGTCTGGATGCAAGGCTACGCCCTCGTAGAGCGGCTGTGCGGGGGGAATTAGAATGCACTTGATGAGCGTGTGGAATATGTTCTCATCGTCGTTGCAGTTGGCTTCTGCATATTCCGTCGCTTTGGCCACATCGCCCAGCACTTGTATATAGATGGCTAGCACCTTATCGTGCTTCTTCAGGCGACCCAGGATGAGAGCGCGCTCCTCCAGCAGCATGTTGGTTGGGAATTCCTCTAGCATGCGATCTGGCGAATAAGAGTTGGATTCCTCCAGCATTCTGTAAAGCTTGGCACGCGTTGTCTTTAGGTCAGACGGCTCGCCCTCCTCACTACAGGAGTCCTGCTGTGCCAGGAGGGATTGCACCCGTTCGCGGTACTGCTTAAGGAGCACGTTATGCAGCAGAGTGGTCGTGTTGTGTCGCTCGTTAATAAGGTGTTCCAGGTACGGAATAACTAGTGACTTGTGTTTGCTGATTAGAAAATCCAGGACCTTGGCCGGCGGAAGGGACTGCTCCTCCTCCTCGTCATCTAGAAGTTCGTCGGTGAAAATACAAAGACCCTCTTCGGGATGCTCCTGCAGCACCCAGTCGGCAAACTCGAAAATGAGTGGCAGGTGATTGGCGCCGAGCTCCTGCAGATATCGGATCGTTCGCTTTCGTCCTTGCAGCACCGATCCCTCAATGGCCGCCTGCTCTCGGAGTAGTTTAAGGGCATCCTTGTGCTTGCCCTTCATTTGATAGAGAATGATCAGCTCAGAAATCTTGTTGTGCTTCTTCAGTGTCTTTTCCGATTCCTCCAAATGGCACTGGTTGAGGCGAAGGAGTGGCGCCACCAGTGAATCGTTCGTCTGCAGGTAACACTTGAGCAACGTGGTATCGATTATTTCTAACAGAGACTTTGAACTGCTCTTGGCGTCGCGTAGTTTCACCACTTCCCGTTGGCGGGCCAAAGCCAGGAACTCGATTAGCGCCAAGTAGGCGTTCTCCAAATCGCCATCCTCCAGCGGCGGAGTGCTTGATGGAACGGCGATGTCTTCCGTGCCAGGCTTTGGTTCGGGCACCAAATTGGGAAACAGTCGGATAACATCGTAGGGATCGATGGCAGCCTTTTCGAACTCTGTCATGGCCGACGAGAATTCCTTGTTGGTAAAGAGCTCTTTGGCGTAAAGCATGTGAATCTGTTGAATAGTCTGGGCCCGGTCCTCCGCAGGCTCGTCTGAGATTTGCTAAAAAGATTGAAAGAATAGACGTTTTTCGGACATTTTTTCGACCTGGACTCACTGTCAGCTCAATGGCCAATTGAAATTTCTTTTGCTGCAGCAGCTGTTGACGCTGAGTGGGGATTTCAACCAGGCGGAGACACCACAGCTCTGAGGTGGCGGCGGCAAATATGGTTCCCTTGTCGGCGTGCACCAGGAAGCGCGTCTTTTGCAGCTCGGGAATGCTTTGAACCAAAGTGTCCTTGCCCACGAGACTGCGAACCTCGATGGCAGTGTTGACACGACCAACGGCATACGGATCATCCCAGACTGTAATTGATTCCAATATGAATATAAAATGCTGGCAGAAGCTTCGAATTTTTACCCAGATCAAGCAGGGGACTTGACCAAAGTAATGGAGTGAGCGAATTCTTGTTCTCCATGCCCCCCGGTCGCACATTCTCAAAGGAACTGGCGCTGCCATCCTTGTTATCTTTATACTGGCTGGGATCGACGACCACTAGGTAGCTGTCTTTGGAAATGCCAAGCATATTGTTCCGTATCAGGCAGATACACGGATCTCTGCTGATGCTCGAGGAAGTGAGGAAGAGATCGTGCTTCTTTGGGGTCTTGCAGGATATCTGCACAACGGAAAATGGAGAACACCTGACTACCATTTTGAAGGTTGATAGCTTACGTCGTACACCACATATTCGTCTTTGTAGCCTACGCAGACGGCATGTCCTGCCCAGCACAGGGAGCGGGGCACATCGCTCAGCTCAATGCTCAGCTCCAGCGAGTCCAGCTTGTCCTTTTTCCAAAAGAAGAACACCAGACGCCGCTTGATGGCGCAGCACACACGAATAAAAGTAGCAACCTCGCCAGTGGTCGACTTTTGCGAGTCCACATCCATGGCGAAGAGGGTGCAGCCCTTTGTCTCCTTGGCACTGTGCATAAAGGCGAAGTTGCTCTCGATGCGACTGATGTCGCAAACCTGCACCAGGCTGTCGGTGAGCACGAAGAGCAGATTCTCCTCGACAGTCACCTCCATCTGGGTGATGGGCTTCCGGCTGAAGTTCTTGTTGAACATGCGCATGTCCACGCCAGCCACTTCGTCAACCGAGTACATGATTAGCTGGCCACTTCGGGTGCCCAGGATGACATGGTTACCTGGAACGCAGTCCGCCCGATGAGTGATTCAGCCGTGTAATTCCTCAACTCAGCCCCTCTTACCATACGCCGCTATGGACTCTATCTGAACGCCCTGCTTAAGGATGGAGTGCACACTGTAGGCCTGGTGCATCTTGATGTGGGCCACGGGAGCCGGTGATTCCGGAAAAGCAAATACTCGATAAAAAACAGTTTATTCTTTATTTATTTCTATTAAGTGTGACCGCTTTTAAAACGAGTTCTGTGCCATTATTGGGAGGGAAAAATGCGGTCATATTATTTCGACAGCCGACAATTCGTCGATTTCGAACTCCCTGTGAATATATCGGCAACTGAAGACAACTGTTCCCATACAAATTGTAGTGCGATATATATAATGACAGATTGAAATAGTATACATTATGTTCTTGTCATAGTATGGTCGTTTCACAAATTTAGCGGCTCCCTTTTTTGGGTCGTTTCCTTTTCGGCTAACTATCGGACATATTTTCACCACTTTAGTCGTCAATCCCAGAATATTAGCCAGACCGACAAGAGATAAACGAGCTCTGAAACTATCCCATTGTATAATTAATGCCCTACGGCTTCCTTATTTTCCCGGCCCTGACGTACTTTCCTAACTGCGCCCCAAAACTCCTGTCAATTTCACTATGGTAAATTATCTAGTATATAAACGATCAATCTTGTGATCTCGGCATTTATTACATTACATTATTCCAGAAATTGTTTTTTGTTGAGCAATTTAATTAGCAGAACTGTGGCTAAACTCTAAAATGTTTCGCCCGGGAGTGTAAATCCTATAATTTTGCACGAATGCAGAAATTAAAAATGTTTCAAGTAGAAACGTGGCCTTTGGAGCGAAAAATATCGATAGTTACACGCAGAAGGTAATCGAAAAAAGCAGCTGTTCTTCCATCTCTAATCAACGCCATTGACAGCAGAAAAAAAAACAGTTTGGAATTTAGTCTTTTTAAAGTAAATAAAAGGCATCGCCATGTCTATGTCCAAGACCACGAACACCTACAATCGGCAGAATTGGGAGGATGCCGAGTTTCCAATCCTATGTCAGACTTGTCTTGGCGACAATCCGTACGTGCGTATGATAAAGGAGCGATTTGGCAAGGAATGTAAGATCTGCACGCGCCCATTTACAATATTTCGGTGGTGCCCAGGAGCACGGATGCGCTTTAAAAAGACTGAGATTTGCCAGACATGTGCGCGCCTTAAGAATGTTTGCCAGACTTGTCTTTTGGACCTTGAGTACGGCCTGCCCATCCAGGTTCGCGACGCGGCCCTGAAGGTGGCAGACAACATGCCACAAAGTGACGTTAACAAGGAGTACTACATACAGAACATTGACGCCCAGCTGCAGGATGGCGATGGCACTGAGGCAGCCGGAGCAGTCGGGCGCTCCCTGGCTGCAAACGAAATGCTGTCCAAGCTGGCACGTACAGCTCCTTACTACAAGCGGAACAGGCCGCACATTTGCTCTTTCTGGGTCAAGGGGGAGTGCAAACGCGGGGAGGAGTGCCCCTACCGCCATGACAAGCCAAACGAACCCGACGATCCTCTGTGTGAGCAGAATATCAAGGACCGCTACTATGGCCGCAATGACCCAGTGGCCGAGAAGATCATGAAGCGAGCGGCTTCTCTTCCTACCCTTGAGCCTCCAGAGGACCGCAATATCACCACACTGTATGTTGGCAATCTTCCCGAGGAGATTACGGAGCCGGAGCTACGGGACCAGTTTTACCAATTCGGAGAGATCCGTTCCATTGCGCTAGTGCCCCGCCAGCAGTGTGCTTTCGTACAGTACACTAAACGCGGCGCTGCAGAACTGGCCGCTGAGCGCACCTTTAACAAGCTGGTCATTCACGGCCGCAAGGTGAGCATTAAGTGGGCGCATTCCCAGGCGAAACAGGGTACAGCGGCTAAGACAGACAGACGCTTCGATGTGACCGGCATTCCGCCACCCAGCGCCAAGCCGAACGATTACTTTAATTTGCGCCAGGAGCAAATTAACGTCATGCCAGCCGGCATGAAACTTCACCAGCTACCATCGAACTTGGTTCCGGCATCGGCATACCAAATGTACGGCCAGCCCACCTACGCTGCACCCTACAGCAACGCTAACTCTACAGTCACGTCTACCTCCGGTGTGAGTCTAGACTCGATTCCACCGCCACCTGGTCAAATACCCTATCCGAGCCAGGACGCCAGCCGAATGGGGGCTGTGAAGAAATAGATTAGGTTCTTCTTAACTGTGCGAAAATATTTTTTATAAATACCAATCAAACATCAATAAATGTTCGCATATATCTTTGTGACAAAACTACTATTAAATGATTGTATATTAAATGGTTAGGGAATGTTGCGCGAAAATAATTTTGAATAAATAGTTGCAAGAGTATATAGTTATCCTTCAATTCCAAACCATCGTTCACTACAGCGGGTAACTGGGTAAAATTTAAACCACCCACTAAAAACTTGGCTAAAATATTACCAATCTTATATAAATCACAGGGTATTATAATATCAGTCAGTATATAGTCTTGATCGGCATCAACAGCCGAGTTGATCTAGCCATGCCCGTCTAAACGTAAACTAGTCCCTCCGTTTTGGAGTTATCTGAGTGAAACTACAGATAGTTTACTGACTATTCTCACTGCTGGATACGGTGGAACGGGACGGATCGGACGACTATATCATAAGAACAATCGGAATATTGGTAAAGAAAAAATATAAATTCGCTGTTTTTTCAACACATTTTTATCTACCCTGAGACATTTAAATTTTGATTCATTTGGAAAATCGGAACTATATAACTATATATAAATAACTCTTCTGCTTTTCAAAATACTTTCATTTACTCCGAGGCAATACCATTTTATATTACTTAAGAATTTCGGTTTTAATTTTATGAAAATCTGACGACTACTAGTTACCATGGGAATAGTCGGTAGATGCAGAGAAAAAACTGTAAATATTTTTATTGGTAAATATAAATAAAGTTGATATTACTTTACTTTTGTTCAGAATATTTATAATTTAAATAAGATTACATTTTTTAAAGCTCAAATATTGTTTTTTAAACGATTAAAAAAATTTTTTTTGATATTTAATCAAAATCAAATAATTATGTACTATGTATATGTGCATATACTTATGTATATCGTTTATGTATCACCTGTTAGTTTTGGATCAATTCTTAATGATCCAATTGAAAACTGCAAGGGTACACCAATTTCGGTGTTTTTCCTTTCTTGTTTTTTGAATGATTCACCTTACCTTTTTTCTACTTCGATTTTTTATCCTCTCTTTAGCCCCTAATTTATTCAATATTTCGAGTTTTTTCCTTAAATGAAGCTTTAAGAACTGATCGGAGAAGGCAAAACTCTTGCAGATGCTAAAAGATTTATTATATTGAATTTGATTTATTTCTTAAAACTTTCTTGGGCATTTCATAAGAGCAATTAAATGCGGTCAAAAATTGCTGACAACCGGCTCCATTTAAACTGAAGACGTCAACGTTTACAGCCTGTCCCTTGGACAGCTCCCAGCTGGAATCTGGAGTATCTTCACAAGGAACTTGAATTATTGGATATGGGCTCTATGAGCCCAGTCCAGTGCAGGAAAGAACATGGCGGAATCAGTGGCCATACCTGCATATGTACTCCTTCGCCGATCCCATCGGGTCAGCCTCGAATAAAGGCTAGTACTAACACAATATTTAAAAGTTGTATATTTATACAAAGCATAAATAAAATGCTGAAAACACACACAACATAACATTTTACCTGTATACTTATCATGTTTACAGTTTGACAGTTACAGTTTTACATTCCTAGCTTTAAATTTTCTCTACATTTACCGATCGCTTCTATGGCAGCTATATGATATAGTTGTCAGATTTTTATAAAATTTATACAAAAATTCTGAAATAATACCAAAAGCTCATATCTCAAAGTAGATGAAAAATACGTTGAAAAACAACGAAGTTATATTTTCTATTATTTTTCCCGATCGTTCCAATAGTCGTTCGATTTTCATAAAATTAAAATGACCGCTTTTACGCAAACTAGTCCCTCTGATTTAAAGCTATCCGAATGAAACTTTGCATATAGTCTTCTGAATACTCTCACTGCTACATATATACGGAACGAAACGGGCCGGATCGGACTACTTTATCTTATAGCTGCCATAGAAATGGTCCACAAATTTGTACAAAAAATATTACACCTTCGATGTTTGTCAACATACTTCAGTTTTTATTATTTCAGAATTTCGGTTTTCATTTTTGGGATATGAGCGTATAGTATGTATGTATATCTCTATATCTGGCATCGCTAAAAGATGAGTCCAGGAGGAAGCCAAGCGAACTCCTTGCCTTTGCGAAAAACACCTTGATCTTCAAGGATCTCGAAACCAGCATAATTGGTCTCTAGGTCCATCTAGGAATTTCACCGGATAGCTTTGGGCCATATTGGCCTATGTGTGGCCTACGAGGGCCGTCCGGATTAACGTAACCTTTTTCACGAGTTTATTTCGAACTTTAGCAAATAATTCGATAATGTTCAGAATTTTAATCTTTTTTTTTTTTAATTAGGCAGCCGAAATCTTCTTTAAAATTCAGAAAAAGGAAACCATAGCAATCATTAAAGAATTTTCCAAGAATCATTAATTATTTGCCCTGTGTAAATACTTCTGACGTAAATAAAACGTGTGACAATTTACATGTTTCTACTCATTTGGGTTCATCCTTGTTTCATGAACCAACCTACGCAATATAAACCAGCGTTTGAAAACCTACGCTACTCCCGTAGTATTTCGATTTGCTATTGCTACCGATCTCACTTTGACGAGAGCTATAGTTTTTAAACGACAAAACTACGAGCAGACTTTGCCGTTCTTCTGCTATGGCTCTCGTCAAAGTGAGAGCTGTAGCAAGCATAGCAATATTTTTATGAGATTTGCTGCTATGGAGTAGTAAATGCAAACCCTGAAAAAAACTATTTCAGGTAAATTGGTCAACAACTATAGAAATTACAACCAAAAGAATTTCGAATGTGTTCGAATCTGTATGTTAAAATGTGTTCCATCGATTCATAATGATCCAATGGCAATATTGTTTTATTTTCATTGTAGAGCAAATAGTAAAAGAAATGTGGAATGTTTTGAAAACATCTTTGGCGGCTTATCGATGATTATTTGTTAACGTCTAAAAAACATCGATGTCGGCTATAATCGATGCTTCTTCACATCTATGATAAATAACAAAATGTTTATAAATTAGTTTTGTTGTTGGAAATATATACATTTTATTTAACAATAAAAATGTTAAACTTGACTAAATATAATTATAATTAATGATTCATACAGCAACATTTTCGGTGTATTTTCTAGAAAGTGTCATCTTGTACGTTGACTAAAAAATGTTCGCCATTCCCAGTGATACGCGGGTGTCTTGGCGACTATTTAAATACTTGTTGAGCAGCTTCATTATCATCCCAGTCTGCCCGAAAACGATCAGATAAGTAGAACCTTTTCCAGCCATGACAACTGCCTACCTTGGTACGATTGTTCACACAAAGTCTTTTGGAGAGTTCGAGTCCTTCGAAAATGGGTTCCTTGCGGTGGACAGCAGCGGAAAGGTACGCACGTGAAAAGCTATATGAAAATTATTGACTAGTACTTATGTATATTTCCCGCAGATCATTGGTGTTGGTAAAGACTATCAGGAGTGGATTTCCAGAAACCCGGGCAAGAAGACGGATCTGACCGAGGTGACCCTTTCCGACTATCAGTTTCTGATGCCAGGATTTGTGGACTGTCATATACATGCACCCCAATATGCGCAAATCGGCCTGGGACTCGACATGCCACTTCTGGACTGGCTCAACACGTACACATTCCCGCTGGAGGCAAAGTTCTCCGACCAGAAATACGCCCAGCAGGTCTACGAGAACGTTGTCGTAAGTACTAAGCCGAAATCGGAAATTAGGAGGGGGCCCGTATTTCTTATCAATTTAGCTGCCTATATAAATGCACATATGTATGTGTATGTGCATATATACATATGAACGTACACATCACGTCGCTCGCCGTGATCGTCTTCCGAGCAATCAAAACTGCGGTCGACCATCCAGAACTTTTATTGATGATATTGTAATACTCCTAGTCAGCAACGCTACGCAGTGGAACCACTCTGGCTTCCTATTTTGCAACAAACAATCTGGAATCGACGCTGATATTGGCGAGGGAGGCAGTTCGTCAAGGCCAACGGGCTCTAATCGGCAAGGTCTGTTCCAATTGCAACAGTCCCGACTACTACGTGTGAGTATTGAGGGTGACGAATATGTCTCCAAAATGGAGTAAGTCCAACTTGTCGTTTTGCTAGGGAGGAGACGGAGCATTCAATCTGCGCGACAATAAGTTTTGTGGAAGAGATAAAAAAGCTGGGTAGTCCGCTTGTGTTGCCCACGATCACGCCCAGGTTCGCCCTCAGTTGCAGCAAGGAACTCCTTAAAGAGCTGGGCGACATTGCGAAGCGATTCGACCTTCATATACAAAGCCACATCAGTGAGAATCTGGCCGAGATTGAGGTCGTAAAGGACATCTTCAAGACAAGTTATGCTGGGGCCTATGACGAAGCTGGATTGCTAACCAACAAGGTGAGCCTTTCATTGTCCTTCAAAGCTTCCCGCTTAGTTGTCTCATTTTCTTGTAGACGGTGATGGCACATGGCGTGCATCTGGAGGATGATGAGGTTGAACTTCTGAAAACTCGTGGCACCTCTGTGGCACATTGTCCCGCTTCAAACACGATGCTGAGCTCGGGTCTCTGTGATGTCCAGCGGCTGATTAATGCTGGCGTGACCGTCGGCCTTGGCACCGACGTGTCGGGTGGAAACTCGGTATCGATTCAGGACGCCTTGCTGCGTTCGTTGGATGTTTCAAAGCACCTGGACTTTTTCAAGAAGCAAAATATTCGCGGTTCCGGGGAGGCTAAAACTCCCGATCCCACCTACGTTCAGCTAAAGTACAAGCAGGCTCTTTACCTGGCGACTTTGGGAGGTGCCAAGGCGCTCTCTCTTGACCACCTGACTGGAAACTTTGTCGTGGGCAAGGAGTTCGATGCCTTGCTGATTGATGTAAGCGTCGTTGATAGGCCAGCGCGGCCATTGAACGTTGACGAGCTATTGGAGAAGTTCATCTACACTGGAAGCGATCGCAATATTCTGGAAGTCTTCGTGGCAGGCAAGCGCGCTAAGAAGGAACAATAAGAAGACGGGGCACTAACAGCGGCATATATAAAGAATTTATTTCTATACATAAAGACCATCGGTAATACTTTAACGGAGTTTCGTTTTTATAAATAACCGATATTTATATACTATTATGTACAGTACATGTTTTACACTGTATAGTCGGAACAGTTGCGTACATAAACTTGTATTTTACTTTTAACTATAGTTTCAGTTAACATGTAGCTAATCACATATTGGCTATAAGTGAAGGTGAGATAGTAAACCTATGCGATGCGTCGTCACACTGCACGATCAGCCCAGATCAGTGACACATTTGTGAATGTCTGAGGGGATTGCGATCTATCTTCTCTTTCAATTTTGTGCTAAAAATAAAATAGGCTTTGAAGGTACAAAATTAAGTATGTTGTCCTTAGGATTCTCGGAATTTCAAAGGGTCGAACTGTGTACTCCTTTAGTGGCATAATCCATTACTCTAACTTCAAAGGCTTGGGTTTTCGAATAACAGTAGTTTTAACTACGAGTAGTTGGTAATTACAACTAATTGCCATAATTTATAATATAGAAGTGGGACGCGTTTTACGCATTGAACATGTTTTGCTGCGTGGCATCGTTTTCGAAATCTGTCCAGGCATTGTTTAGTTCCATGAAAATAAGTTTGGCGATCTCCTCGTTTTCGGTTCCATTATGCTATGAGAAGGGAGTACGTTAAACCGATTACCGAATAGCTTTGACATTGCACAAACCTTGTCTGGGTGAACGGCGAGGCAGGCACGACGATAAGCTTTCTTCACCTCAGCTGGGGTTACCATGGTGGACATCTCACAACGCTGCCACTTGGCATTATCCCACAGCACCGTGTGCATAGAGCAGAGAAGCGCCCGGATGTTGTTCTTTTTGCCGTCGGTCTGCAAAATGCAAAGATTTTAATGACAATGCATTTTTCAGAGCACTAGCACTTCTTACCCATTCCATAATGAGCACTTTCTTTGGATCCATGTCTTTGACTAACTCCTCCTTGCGCATTTCGTTAATGGACCGCGGACCTTGGTTCATTTTACTGCCAAAAGAGTAGCCTTGTTGCCCTAGAATGTCTGCGAATATGTCGGTGCTCTTGTTTCCGCTGAAGCCCGCTGGCTGCGCAGGCTTCGGCGAATCGAAGTGAGCCCTACTGTAGTCTGGACGGCCTTGGCCAGGTTGCGCCTGCGGTGGTTGTGGAGGGGTTTTGATAAATGCACCTTGTGCTTGCTGCTGCAGCGGGGTTGTGGAATGGGAGGGTCTGTGTGTCGGACTTGGATGCAGCGTCTGTTGGGGGCTACTGCTAGGCTGGGACTTTCCACTTAGCGTGTTGCGGGGGAAGTTTATGTTAAGTCCGGAGGCCAGATTCGCAATGTCAGCAAAGGGATCGGCGGGTGCCGTGGGTGGTTGAATCGGTGAAGATTCATTTCTGGTCATTGGCTGCGGTACAAAACTTGGCAAGGATCCCCCGTATGGTGGAAGAGGTGCTCCAGGAGTGGGCTTAAGGCTGGTGGCAGCGCTGTGATCTGCCGATCCGAAGAGGTCAAACAGGTCAGAGTTGATTTTTGCTTGATGCTGCGGCAGCAAGGGCGCTGCCGGAAGGACATCTGGAATTGATGCCGAGCCTATACCGGTGGAGTTATCGTCGCCAAAGGCCCCTAACAAGTCAAAGCTGGCATCAGTGCTGGGCATAGCGCTTCCTAGGGGGTTCGCTGCTGGTGCATCGCTGGGCTGCTGATTGAGATTGAGCAGATCAATGGGTGGGGAGGGCTCGGGAGTAGCCATCGGAGGATCATGGGAGGTCTCTGTGACATCGGGCAAAACGAGCAGAGAACTGGCGCCCTCAGGTTTCCTTATGGGAGGAGGGGGCGATGTTCGTGTACTTGGCTTTGTTACTGGAAAAAGACCAATTAGTAAGTTGTCCAGAGGCTACCCAAGAGGCACTTACCGAAGTTATCAAGCATTTCGGCGAATTCCAGGTCCGAGCTAAAAAGATTGCTCGGCGACCTCTTGGACTTGGCTGGCACCCATGGTGGCTTGTGGCTGGGAGGCGATTCCAAATCTGTTACGGCCAACGAGAGCGACACACAAAAGTTGGACGGCACCTGCTCCGGATCCGGCAAGTCGTCGAGATCATTGCTGTTGAAGGTGATCAACGTTTCCGGCTCGGGAATAAATCCAGTGTTTATTTGGAACTGACAGATCTTCAGGCCCTGTGGACGGACCATTCCCTTACGGGCGTGGTATAATACTATTGTCACGTCCCCGCACACAGTCAGGTTAATAGGTAGCACTAGTTTTCCCTGGCCGGCCTGGTGTAAGCTGCAAGGTTCGGTTGGCATGGTAAAAAGAGATAAAACACAATTTGTTCCGATATTACCGCAAGTTTTCGTAGTCTTGCAATGTGCTGAGCAACATCTTCTCATTACAGTACACCTCCAGGTAGGTACGACAGCCATCGCGAGCCTTTGTCATCCTGGGCACAGGTTGACAGCTTAGTGCTACCAGATTAGTGTTCTTGTAGTGCGGCAGGAGCGGAGTGGGTCGCAATATATCGCCGAAGTAGTACAGGTAACGGAATTCGGAGGGCCGCATATTTATGGTGTGGCGCTTGACGGCGAAAACCTGAACAGCGTCTTCTGGCTCTTGAAGCAAGTCTGCATACATCAGCAGTGCACTTACAACAGTGGCGGCAGTGCACCCACCCGAGTCTCCAGTCTGGATGATGACTACCGATTTTGCGTCGGCAGTGAGGAAGTTGTACATGTCCGCTGACACGGTAAACAGGCCCTAACGAAAAAAGCAGGATAATATGATTGCAATAAGCTCCTCCTTTGATCTTATTATAACAGAACGCGTAAATTTGAATTGCCATATGGGCAAATGGTAGACCCGCCCCCGAAACTTAAATTTGTTAAAAAAATAATGTTTTAAGATTTTATGCATTCGTTAAATTTCAAACTCTATTTTTATCTTGTCTTTTCTTTTTTCCTTGGAATTGTATGTATTTACGTTCCTGACGTTAGTGTTTGATCTGCCTCAGTGGACCAGTTGGTAAGCGGTCGGCTGTGAATTCTCGGCCGGAGATCAAGAAATGTAAGTAGCTTTTAAGATGATCTATATACTAATTTAAATGAGTTAATAATCATTTGTAGCTCTATAATTATATATTAATTCGTTCACAACAATCTTTAATTGAATAATGTTTGATTTAGTAATGTCTTTTATTGAATATTTAGTATTAACTAAGGCCGGTCTCGTTAGAATTGGAATAAAAAAAATGTTTTTGTTTAACCAAAGTAGAAATTAAATCAAGTATGTTTCGGTTTATTTTATGACACTTTTGAATCTGGCGTTAGGATACAACAATTCTTCAATAAAGACCAAAAATCTTAAAAGAAGACCAAAATATGCTTGCGCTACTTTCGTTACCAGATTTTCAAGATTTTATGACCAAAATTCTAATATATTTTTTTTAACACTGTAACAAAATATTTTAAATCAAAATAAAATGTTCATAATACAAAGGTTCTAAAGCTCATCCCTGTTGTTTTAGTAAGCAATGGGCTGAACATTTTAAAATTAAAATTAACTTTAAAAGAATTTTTATATTTTATATTTGGCATATGAAACAGAATATTTTATATATGTTAGAGCTATCTATATGATGTAGAATACGTATTTAATATATAATGAGAACAGAAATAAGACTATGTCAAGAATCGTTCTTAAAAGCTGAGATAATGTTTACGCGGAAAGGCGGACATTGTAAAATAGCTGAAAGGGGAACATTTTCTCCCTGTGGTCGGAGAAACCTCATTCAGCCTGGTACCCGGTACCCATGGTATCTCTCAGTCGATCTCACCCACTGTAGCATTCCTACTTATTAACTATACATTTGGCTAATATGTATTTAGAATGGACCTGCAATTTTGAAGAACTGGCCACAATTTTGTAGTCTGAAAAAGTACTTCGGAATGATATTTTGTGTTTTCTTTGCACTCTTCAGACGAGGTTTGGGTCTATGGTTTTCTAAAATCATAGCTAAGTATGATCCCTGTTTTTTAGTATACTGAACACAATTCATAATGATGAAACTTAAGTAACGACTTAATAATAAATATTTATTTAAGGCCAAAATCTTGTTCTCATACCTGTAGATTTGGCGCGTGAGCCTGCGGGCAACCAAACACATAGCCCGCTTCAACTGTACGCACGGGTGGTGGCAATCGTGGCACTGAGCGCTGGCCAAAGTTGTAAATGCTTATCTTCTGTGGGGAAAAGCGACCCTCTAAAGACAGGCGGACGTCGTCAATGTTGTTGGTCTTGTAGGCGGACTCAAAGCCGTCGGACGGGCATGGCATCACCAGGATCCGTGAGGTAATGTAGCTGATGTCAAGATCATTGCGGGCGATCGATTGTTGCACAGTTTGCATTACTTTGGTGGAAGTGTCTTTTATGTTCTTAAACAGCGTTCCTGCACCACCACGCAGAGAAGACAGTAAACTACCGTGTCCGTTGCTGGAGGATGGCGTTGAACTAGAGGTAGGCGCTATTTGGGGCGCGGCAGCGAAGGCCTCAGGATAAAATTCTGATTGTACGGCGGCCTTTCGAACGGGACTCTCAGCTGGAGACGACTCGATGGGAATGCCTTTTAAGTTCAGAGTTCCTTTAAGGGACCAATTATTTGTTTCAGCGATAGATGCGAGCCGCTCAAGCACCATTGCAATGTCCAAACGATCGGCGGGATTCACTTTAAAACAACCCGTGATGATTTCGCGAAAGCACTGATATCGTGCGTCAGGTGGAATAATGTAATTGGCGTTAATGATGCGGAGTTTCCCACCATCTTCGAAAGGATGCCTGCGGTAGCAGAGATAGTAAAGGATGCAGCCCAGAGCCCAGACGTCAGTTTTGGGGCCTATTGGGTTGTTCGACCAGGTGTCTAGCATTTCCGGAGCCCTGTACATGGGCGTCGTTACAGTGTTCAGTTGGTCCTCCAGCATGTTCCGCTGATGCGCGCTCCACTCGAATGTCGGCGCGAGCACCTCCTTGGTAGCAGAGCCGAAGTCACATAATTTGATCTGATTATCGTTTCCAATAAGGAAGTTCTCAATCTACAACGATCAGAAGGATTAGTTTGGTTTACTACGCCGGTAATAAGTGGATGAAATACGAACCTTTATGTCTCTATGGGCGATCGGTGGAGCTTGAGCGTGCAAGTAGGCCACAGCTCGCGCCATTTGGTAGAATATTCTCAATACCAAAGGCGGATCAAAGGCTGGGTTTTCAGCACTGAAGCAGTCTATCAGGGAGCCGCCTATAAATGTAGCTCAAATGTACTTTAAAACATTTTCAGCTACCCTTTCCTGCGGCTTACCTTTACACAGTTCCGTAAGAAGGAGGTACTGGGCACCCTGCTGTGGCGACGGGGCGGTGTAGCTGGACCCCACAAAAGTAACAATGTTCCCGTGGCCCGAAAGCTGCTTGTGTATTCCGATCTCATTAATGATGGCGTTGCAAGCCTGCTGGTCAGCGCCGATCAGACGCTTGAGGGCGTACTCAGTGCCAGTTTGCACATCTTGGGCAACGTACACAAAGGCGTATCCGCCTGGTGGATGGAAGAAGGAGAGGAAATTGATAACGCGGCGCTGATAAGGGGCTGCTTTAATGAGTATTCATAGCACAGTGGAGTGTTTCGCTGAGGGTCCAAACAAATGAGGGGAGTTAACCAGTCTTCCCAAAATGGTCTTTTTGATTCAGCTTCAGTCACTCTTAGAAAAGGACGTGCCAGTAGAAAATGCGATCACATGACTCATGAAAATGTAAGCAAGTAGTGGTTAGGGAAGTGACAACCATTTGCAGTGACAAAAAGAAAACCCACATTTTATCCCACTTGCCCATCATCTTGGGCAATGAATTAAAAAAAAAAACGCAGAATGCGTTCTTTCCAAGAAATGTTGATTTGTTTTTCCATTGATTTTTGCTATAATCGCTGCTGGCCTGCCCGAGAACCTGCATTCCCATGATTTTAACCAAGCAGTTTACCTTCGGCGATGACACACTTGGTGCGGAGCTTATGACCACCAACTTCCAGGCTCTGTCCCACGTAGTCGTTGTCCAGCCTGCCACCGATGGCTCCTCCTCCTCCTCCTGCCCCACCGCCTGCTGACCCGTTGGCAGCTGGGCTGCCCTCACTTGAGGAGAAATAATTGAGATTGAGCGATTTAAAGAACTCGCCCATTCTGCTAGTGGGGCCAACGCTGATGCAAACAGAATGTGGTGCCGTACAAATTGCCAGGAACTGCTCTGTTTTGAATTTTTTGATGCTTTTTAACACAACTTGTACATTTCAGCTGCGCTGAGACTAGTGTGACCACGTACTTCGATAACGATAAAATATACCGTCTGACTCCAAGGAATATACATTTTATACCGTCTGAATTTTTTGAATATACTACAGTCATACCAATAGTTTGTGTAAAAGTTTTAAATAAAACCCAGTTCGAAAGCAATTTATGTCCTTATATATAATCTTATTTATGCTCTGGGTATTCCCTTGACGACTGAATTAATGACAGTATCGGCGATGTATTACGATAGTTAGCCGATATTTTCAGACGTAAAAGGAATGACACAAAAAAGTCAGCAATAAATTTTCAACCAAATCTCAGTCGCAAGACTGGAACTGCTAATAGTATTATAAAACTGCCGCATTAATGAAAGTACTAATGATACTACCGCATTAATTTGAGATTGCTTTAAAGATTTGAAAGTTCCATAGTTTTTACACTAGTGCGAGCAAGATGACTATATAATGCATAGCCCCAAAAATTGATAGATCTGTTTAATGTTTCTTGTTAGTTTCTTAAGCCGGTTGGAAAATATCGGAAAATCAGGAACAGTCTGACGAGTACAAGAAAATAATGTATAATGTATGCTGTCAAAGTAAGCCCCTATACCCGATCGATTTGGACTCGCGGGACTACCTTATATAATTATACCATGCTCGGGGTCGCTAAATGACTGAAAATATTATATAGGCAGATTGTATGGGAACAGCTGTTTTCAGTTGCCGAAATCGATAAATTGCTATATGCGTACAAACGTTGTGCAGTGCTGAAAATTTACTCTGGATCTATGAAGTTATTTTCTTCATATGTAAATAACAGGCAAAATTTTAAAATAGCTATTGTGTAAATAGTTCATTTTCAAACAAAAATTATTATTTATTATTTAACCATTTTTAAAACATAAATACATTTAGTGTGTAAATGTATTTTTAGCCATACGATGCCACACTTAAATACTTGTATATATCGTTTCAAATTAATCGCAATTTATACCATCACTATCTGGTATTTCCCAACAATATACTTATTATGTTTACAGTTTGACAGTTACAGTTTTACATTCCCAGCTTTATATTTTCTCTATATTTACCGATCGCTTGTATGGCAGCTATATGATATAGTTGTCCGATTTTCATAAAATTTAAACCAAAATTGTGAAATAATAACTGTTGAGAGCACGGATGATTGGCGTAGAGTTATTAGATGTTCGACAAATTTATATAGCAGTCACTTTATTTATTTCATTAAGTTTTACAAAAAAATGCGCAGCTTTAAAAAACTTTGTATTTTATCCCAGGCCGGTGCTTTCTCAAGTGGCCAGATACATTTCCAGGAAAAATACCTTCAATTCTTAGAAACTCAATGGTCACACCTTTTATCGCCCAGCTAAAGATTCGGTATCTATTTTATGGCGGTAACATTCCCCCCCCCGTGAACGTCCTTCGGATCTTCACCGTCTTTTAGGCCGACGTCTAGGATAGCAATCTTGGCCACTGGGCGGACCATGATTCCTTTCGGAGTCCAAATTGTAGCTCGTCGAACTTGGCCATCTTTGGCCGTCACTACTTCAGTGATGCGTCCTTTGGGCCACATGTTCCTTGGAAGTTGATCGTCGACTACTATAACAATGTCGCCGATAGCTATTGGGGGGACGTTTGGTGAACCACTTGCTACGTCTGGTCAAGTCTGGGGTGAATTCCTTCACCCAGCGGCTCCAGAACTTGTCCGCGAATAGTTGAGTCTGTTGCCAACGCAGCCTTAGATCGGTGTTGTCGTCTGCCATGCGCTTATAGCCGCTCGTCGATCCCAGAAGTAAATGATTTGGGGTGAGCGCTTCGTCGTCGCCTGAATCTAAAGAGACAAAGGTTAGTGGTCTAGAATTGATGACGTTTTCTGCTTCCATAAGAGCTGTTCGAAGGGTCTCGTCATTGAAGTTACTAGTTGGGCAGATTGATTTCAAAACAGTCTTAACTGATCTGACGAGTCGCTCCCAAGCACCTCCCATATGCGGTGCCGCTGGTGGGTTGAAGTGCCATTTAATCGCCTCATACTTTATAGTGATTTCGTCAAAGTCAATCTTTTTGAGTTCTTCTTTCACCATCTTCTCAGTTGCTTTAAAGTTGGTTCCGTTGTCGGAGAAGATTTCTTTTGGAGTCCCGCGACGTGTCATGAAATTTCGAAGACACATTATACACGAGCTTACATCAAGTTTATAGGCCACTTCTATATGTACGGCTCTCAGTGTCAGGCATGTAAAGAGGACTCCCCATCGTTTTTCCTTGTGTCTGCCGACGTTAACTAGTATGGGACCAAAGTAGTCAACTCCTGTGTATGTAAAGGGTCTCTCGAAGGAGGCTAGTCGTGCGGCTGGTATTGCAGCCATTTGAGGTACTTCGGGCCTGGATGTGGCGATTTTGCATTTTTGACAGGCCTTCCGAACTGTTTTATACAGCACTCGTAGACGAGGTATGTAGAAGTCGTTTCTTATGATATTTATTGTCGATTCGTGCATTATGTGATGTGATTTTTCATGGAAATCTTTCGTGATCAAAGATGCAATTCGAGACCTCTTTGGCAGAACGACAGCATCGTCAGGATTTATGTTATATTTTCTTCCCTGAACACGTAGCACGCCTTCCTCATCCAAGTAGACATTCAGAGCAATCAAAGGACTTGATTTGTTCACGGCCGTGTTATTTTTGAGAGCAGTGATTTCGGCATAGTATGTCCTAGATTGTGCCTGTTTATATATCCACGACTTCGCTTTGCTTATGATTTCGGGGTCTAAAGTTTTTGGCAGTGGATTTCCAAGACATTTAGCGCGTATTCTTTTAATGTATAGCATAAAGGTTGCCACGGCTCTATACAGGCGTCTCCAGTCAGAAAAGTATTCCTCTGCAAAATCAAAATGCTTTAGTTGGTTTATAATGAAGACATGCTTACGTAGCTCCGTCGGTTCGCCACTTTCGAGAGTAATGTCTTGTTCTGGCCATTCGTTTTCTGGCTTGGCTAGGAACTGGGGACCTTTTAACCAGCGATTAGCGTTAGGAGATTTGATAAACTTTGTGGCTGAGTCTGCAACATTTTCCTTGGTCGGAATCCAGCGCCATTGAGCTCGACTTGTGTGATCTATTATCTCCCCAACTCTATGCATGACAAAGGCTTGAAATTTTCGAGGGTCCATATCCAGCCACTGCAGTACTGTTTTTGAGTCTGACCAGTATGTGCTTGAGTTAATGTTGAGCCTTCTAATATTAATAACTTTTTTGGCTAAGTTCACTCCCATTACTGCTGCCAGGAGTTCCATGCGTGGTATTGAAACTGGCTTTAGCGGGGCAACCTTACATTTAGCTGCTACTAGGACTGTGTCGATATCGTCTCCCTGCTTGATACGAAGATACGCAACTGCTGCGTAGGCGTACTCGCTCGCATCTACAAATGTGTGCAAATCAATCTGGTCAGCATTCGGTAGCAGAGTTGAGTAGAAGCGAGGAAATTCCAATTTAGCAGCTTGAAGAAGGACAGTTTTCCATTGTCGCCATGATCCGAGTAAAGTGTCGGGTAATTCCTCGTCCCAGTCTATGCCTGCACGCCATACTTTCTGCAGTAGCATTTTAAGACCGATTGTGTAACATGATAGCAGGCCCAAAGGATCGAAAATGGACATCAGAACCTGTAGGGCTTCACGTTTTGTTGGTACAGTTTCTCCGTTTAGTACGTCTCTTTTAAGTCTCGCAAATCTGAAAGTATACTTAAAAACGTCGTTCGAGGGTTCCCAATACATACCGAGAACCTTCTCGGGGTCTCCAAGCTCTTTGGGGTTCTGCTCGTCTATTTGGCGCTCTCCAAAATGCTTTAGGATGGCGGTAGAGTTTGAGATCCAATTTCTAATAGTGAAGCCTCCCTCAGCATGGATGTCACGGACTTTTGTGGTTACTGCGATCGCCTCAGAGTCGTCGGTGTAGCTGTCTATGAGATCGTCCACATAATGAGCCTCTGTTATAGACTCGAAAGCTCGGGGACACTGATCTTTGAACTCCTGCGCGTTTTTGTCACGTACATAATGAGCAATGCAGGGCGCGCAGCAGATACCAAATGTCATTGCACGCATGACGAATATACGTGGAGTTTTATTATTCTTATGAAGCCACAAAAATCGTTGAACATGCATGTCGCTCTGCTGGATGATAATTTGGTGGAACATCTCAGCGATGTCCGCGCACACGCCTATACGGCCCACTCTGAATGCCATTAGGACTTCGGTTAGCGAGTTTAAATAATCCGGTCCATTTAGCATAAAGTCATTGAGGGATTTGCCGTGGCTCTTTGCAGCTGCGTCCCAAACTAGTCTTATTTTATTTGGCTTGTTTGGATTTAGTGCGATAAATATAGGGAGGTACCATACACGGTTTGTGTCCTCAGCTATATCTGCGGGTTGCAGTTCGATCGCGTAGTTTTTTACGACTAAGTTGTCAATCTGATTTTGAATTTGGTCAAATAGTTCTGGATTTTTGTTAATTTTCTGTCTTAGGCATTCGAGGCGTTTAAGTGCGGTTGAGTAGCTCTCTGGGAGAATTAAATTCTTGTCTCGCCAGAGCAAGCCAATTTGATATCTACCGTTTACTTTCTTGCATGTTTCCTCCAGAATTCCTTTAGCCTTTTCGTCGTCTTTGGAGAAGAGCTCTCGCGGTGCGATAGGATCTGCGTTGAAGCTTTCTCTTACTGCCTTTTCGATGTCGTTCCAGTTGCAAACGCAGTGATGGAAGGAATAATTTCTGTTGGCGTTGCTTGTGCCTTGAATACTCCATCCGAGAGTACACTTTGAGGCGATGGGCTCGTTGCGTCTTCCCTCACGAATTTTGCGAGGAACAGCCAAGGTCCAGTTGTTAGCGCCAATTAGTAGCATCGGTTCAGCATTATAATATGATTTTATTGGCAATCCGTGTAAGTGATTATATCTGCCGACGAGTTTATTTACATCGACAGTTTGCTTTGGTAGCGCGAGGTGCTTGACTGAGTGTACGTTGTTAAGCCACAATTTTCTTCCACTCCCCATCTCCGATATTTGAATTCGGGCCTTGAAAGACGTTTCCTCTGTACGGGTGGTGTTGCTGGTCCACTGCAAACAGAGTGGTTCGGGTGATGTGCAAACTTTGAGGTGTTTTAGAATTCCTTCGTCGATTAATGTCACAGATGAGCCC